GAACTCTGTATTTGTGTGTCTACAAGCCTTACCCTTCTGTGATGGTCACATCTGCAATGAATGATGACCGTGTGCCATACTGGCTGCCCATTAAGTGGGTTGCTCATCTCAGAGATCAGTTGTCTGGCCAGGAGCAGAGTGACAAACCACTGATTGTGTGTCATGTTGATTATTATGGACGGCACTCGGAAACAGAAGGAACATACCGAAGGATTGAAAAGGTAAGGTTTTAAATTTGTTGTACAAATTTCCCTGCTTTTCATTAATTTTGGATGTGAAAAAGTAACACTGCATTGAGAACGCAGACTAAGCTTGTGAAAACCTTGCAGTCAGAGGCTTCTGATTGAGTGCTATTTAACCTTCATTGGATTCACTTCCAATTCACAGGGGTTTTATGTTTTCAGAAGGAGGACAACTGGTTTTCACAGACAGGCAAAACTATTTGAGCTGAACTTCTTTGTAAGAAAAACTTTCCACTAGCAGTGTTCCACATACAGGGGGTCTCATGTCAAAAACCCTGCAAGGTCAGCTACATAACCCAACAAATTAATTGAAGATTTAATAATGATTTGGTGGGAGCAGTGGGAACTGACCAGTTCAAATTCCTTGTTGACACCCAAGCTTGAAAACTTATCTGGAACCCCACACTAGATGGTGAAACCATCCAGACGAAATTGTCCTTGCAGCCAATCAATTTGCCTGGTTGCCCAGCCCGTTATGGAACCCCTGAATCCTGAAAAGGGGAAGCAATACTTGTAGTTGATCAAAAAATTCCTTGCAGAAATTGCAGCACAAGATAGTGATGAACCAATATCAGACTTGTGCCAGTTTTTCAATAAACTTTTTTCTGTTTTTTTTTTTTCCAGGCAGCAAAGGAATATGCCTTCCTACACAAAGCACTAGGACTGCCACTGGAGTGAAAGTGAAACAGCAAACAGAGGAAATTAACATCAAGGGCTGATATAAGTTCAGCACTCAGTACACAAGAACAGAACAGTGTCGAGTCAAAAGAAAAGGACACAAAGTGATGAGTTCGAACAATATGGGATACCAATTCAAAAAGGCTGGACGATTACGTCAGGCACAGAAGAAATATTAAAGAAAGACAATCTTGAT